ACGTCATTCGGTATATGATATAACTGACCATCCCAAACTATTTGATTTAATACAACATAACATTGCCCCCACCCCAATCTAATCATACCAACTAACAAAACCAATCCGAAATATCCTCTCTGTCAAGCCGAGCCTAGAGCGATGTTTCAGCCCAAATGTTAGCTGTGTCAGATAAAGGCTAATACAGGACTGTGCGTGGACCATGCTGCAGTCGTCAGCATGGAAGGATGCAAAGAGTGAGTCGCAATTGCATTTTGGCAAAATTCCTAACAAACAAAACTGCAGCCTAGAAACAATCCTCCTGAAAGTCCGCATGCCGAATCGGCTGACACAACCATATATTAACCATGCGGTGGGGTTTTCCGTGCTTTTTCTCAGTTGTAAGGCAACTCGGGAGACACTTGTGCCGAACGAGGGCTGACAGAAGTCACCCAAGGGCAACCGAAGGGGACTTATATTCAACAGACCAGCCGAGGCTGTCACTGGAAAGACGGCCAAGTCGGCGCAACCACTGGTCTGACTACTCGGCTACCCTGATTGAGGTTTAATTCTACATGGACACGGCCCTCCACCCCCAATCACGGAGGCCTTCAGCTGAAGTAATTTTCGCCTCCAAGCCACAGAGGCCTTCAGCCGAAGCGGCCCCACCCTCTCTGGGTCAAACCCCCGAGAACCAACCAACCAAATTCTTTTGGACAGGTAGCCGGACGGGATAACACCTACAGCCTAACCTCCACTGATGTTCTTATCAGTTAGCTATCGGTCAGCAGAATCATGAGGTCCTCTCAACGTGACACAGTTTTGGAAAAGCTACTTCTAAAACTTTATTAAAACCTTTTAGTAATACACAGCGACACTGAAATGTTACTGCTCTTGACCACGAATTGACCGTTAGAGACGCCAACAGTTTGTAGCGTGGGTGTGGTGGGAACCAAAACACCTTCAACGGAAATACTCACCAGGCTGAGCTGCCAGCTAATTATTCTTCTAGAAATTTAAGTTTTTAAACTATCTTCCTTCAAAAATGTCCGGCTACACCTGCCATTAGCAGCAACAGACCCTACTTTGAATGGTCGAGGCCCCCGCCATGACAGAACCCGTTATCGTAAGCAAATTCCCGTTTTAGTTATAAGGCTCTGTTTACCATTTCCAGCAATGCGTTTCTTACGCAGGAATGGTGGTCGATGTCTTGCGCTTGCGCAGGACTCCGCAGTTAGTTTGCTTTTTCGTTGGTTGGTTGACGTAATATAGCAGACCTGTGCTCCTACTCCGTCGGACCGTGGCCTTCAAAAATAAATTTCGAAGTGATCTGTGGCCCCGCGGTAAAAGCACTGTCCGAGCACAGTCATGTAACTGTGAATAAAACACTGTCTTACTGTTTAGGTCAAAATGAAGTCTCACCATCGCGATTTTCAACTATAAGACACGGTAGGCGCATTGTTTGCGCACAGTCCTGTAAGTTTGAATTAGCCTTAAGCTGTCTTCGCCAATGTAAACATTGTAACCGCTGTATAAAGTGAAGCTTTCGGGGCGACTGAAGTTGAAAGACTCTCGGGTTACAAGCCGTGTCAAATTTTAAGTTGTTGGATCATAACTGTTATTGGTATTTGACTGTTGATGTAGCTAACTGAAATTCAATAAAGAACTGAATGGAATTAATTGTTTGGTTGGTCCACAAACAGCCAAAAACTTCGGGATTTTGTCCTTCATACCTCGACTGCTTGCAGACCACGTGAAACTGTAGCCACGGCTAGAATCACGAGATAGCGGCTACAGTGATTTGGGATTGTGTGCACGCGCAGTAGCCGCAGCGACCCTGGAAGCATGGTCTTTTCCATGTGGCTGAGTAATGCTTCAGCGTCACGCAGAGATGCCGGAATAAGCTTATTGATAGCCAGCAGCGACGGGTTGTCCTCTAAGAACTCCAATAAAATTATTATTATCATTATTATTGTTGTTGCTGGATTCTGAAATCTTTTTACTCTGTTGCAGATCTAATATATGGTTTTGTTGGTGGCTTAGGAGTTACAGCAGGAGCACATCGATATTGGACACACAAATCCTACAAAGCAAAGTTACCACTCAGAATCATTCTAGCCACTTTGTACCTCACATGCGGCATGGTAAAGTATATCTAAACGTAGTGGAAATAAGTAGGGTGCTTTCGTGTATATGCTCCTGTCCTGCGAGGTGACCACAATCCTCTTCCATCGATGTCAAAGACATTAACACAAATTTGAGGTCATGAATTTCCATTTCTGTGCCTTGCAAATTCAAAAGGCCTTTATATAATGTTCCCTTTCAACGTAAGTTCGAAACATTTGTAGCTCAGAAAGAAGTTTATAAGTTGAAGATACACACAAAAATGTGTTTAGGCATTCAAGAGAAGTGTCTGTTATTATTGTCCACCTTTAGTCAAAACTTAAATGTGTCAACAATTTTAGTAAATCTTCACGGCAAATAGTGTAATTATTATTCGATCATCGGCTCTCAAGTTGTTACATGCATGAAATAGATAAGACGAAGCCAATAACCGCATTGTTATTACTTTATAAGTGAGTGTCGATGGAAAGATCTAACGCAGTACCTAAAAATACGTGTTATTGAAAACTGCAACAAAGAATTCATCACAATAATTTCAATTTATTCATCCTGTTACAGACGGACATCAGTTATAAATTAACAAACGATTAGTTTTAGAATCACCACTGGTGTTATAACATATATCCGTTATTACACGTGGTGGCTCTCTTTAGCTGACGAATTCCTTAAACACTTATAGGAATTCATTTTTCCTCCATTACTGTATTTGAAACAACTGAAATATCAATTGAAGTAATTGTTTTACATTACTTACATTTTAAGTTTTTCACTCTGTTGGCCTCTAAATCACATTTAGTCTCTTGTCCAATACCACAGTCGCCTTTCTCTATTCTCTGGTTCTCACATAAACGCTCATTTATTCACGACTTGACTCGCTCCACCGCGAAACGAAACATCCACCTGCACTGTATGCAGCCAAGCAGCTGATATTTTATACGTTTGGCAACTGTTCGACATATTTTATGAATGTTCTACCCCACCCCTCTCAGTGTTTCTTGACTTTTCTACTGAACATCGTGATCGAGTGATTAACAATCCTGAATCGTATTCGGGATGTCCCGATTTCAAATCTCGGCCCAAAGACCGACTCTCCTGACTGAGGGTCTTCGTGCTTTTCCTCAGTTTCTACAGTAAAATGACGGGAGCTACTTATATTAGTCCACGACCGCTTCCTTTCACTTCCCTTCCAATTTTTTATTCACTACCGTCCTTTCATTTGACGCTAAATACTCAGAGCTACTGAAAAACGTCGTTAAGTAGGCTATAAGTAAATAAATAAATACAATTTTAAGTCCAGCCAGAAGGGCGCTCATGAAAATTCCAGAGCTTACACGGACTGGCTTTTTCGTCCATCGGGCTGGACACCGGTCTGAGTCTACGGAAGGCGGAAATTTTCGTTTTACGGGCGTATTGACTAATACTCTTTAGTTATTTATGTTTTAATTGAAACTAACTTACTATGAAATATTTCTCATATTCATTCACTTGTTAAGAATAACATTAACTTAAGTGTAATGTGAACTTTCAACTTTATTACTTCATTTTGTAAGTGCATTGTTACAGAACTCTATCTTCGATTGGGTGAGAGATCATCGTATTCACCACAAGTTCACTGAGACAGACGCGGACCCGCACAACGCGAAGCGGGGGTTGTTCTTCTCTCACGTGGGCTGGCTTATGCAGAAGAAACACCCCGAAGTCCTGCGACGGGGACGTCAGATTGACATGAGTGACGTGCTGGCTGACCCCGTGGTTCAATTTGAAGAAAGGTCCGGACATTTAATGAGTTCTAAGTAAAGTACAAAACGTTAGAATTGGGGTTAGCAGGAGGAAGGAGTAGTCTCAGTCTGTGAAAGGCCCTAATTAGAAAACCCCACTACTTGTAAATATTTACAAGTTATAGTGTAGAAAAATATAAGGAAACCCATCGTAATTCAGCAACATATACTAAGTGTGATAGTATTAGGACAAACATTGACGAAAATATAATTAGCAACTGATTAAAATGTACATACTGAAAGTAAAATTTAGGAAGAAGCCTGTGTTCTCAGTAAGTAAATTGCACAAATAAAAATAAGGAAGTCCGATTCATAAAGGGTCCAAATTAAGTGACGTCCATGTTAATTGAGGGTTTACTGTACTTCAGAAAGTAGAAGCAAGAACATCGTTCTGTTTCTCCGTATGACCACCCAGATAATAATTTGTTAAGTGTAAAAATCATAAATCTCCTCATTATTACCTACATTCTCTTGTTACTTTCTCCCTCTAGTTTCAAAAATACTCTCCTGTTCACAGAAACCCTCATTCTGCATTTGATTATGTCGATGTTTTCCTTATGGGTAGTAATGTCTCGTGGCATATATACTTGTCGCAAGATGTCTGCGAGTTAACTGTTACAAATACACAAGTTGTTGACCAGTCAGCTGAAGAAAGGGGAGGGAGAGAAATCGATTGCGCATTAGGTGTCTTGTTCTCGCTAGCACTTTTTCATCTTCCCTCCTCCTGTTACTGCTAAGTCAGGCTCGTAATGGAGGAACGCTTTGCTTCCATATAAGACCTGAACGCTGAGGTATTATGTTCCTCCTAAACGATGGTTTCAATCTGCAGGTTCACTTCCAAGAAGGAAATTGTTAACACTCTTAATCTATGTTTTTCCCCCAACGAGGAAACCAAATGTCACCTGCAGTACTATGCAACAACTAAAATTATGTTACTCTGTAGATAAAAGCAATTTGTTCCCCTGAAAATTTCTTAACCACCTAAGAGCTCCAGGGGCCATAACGTAGAAGGCCACAATAAACATTTTAATCGTTCAGAGAACCTTAAATTTCATAAGCCTGTCTAGAGGTAAAATATAGTTTTATATATTTTAGTCCTTCTTTCCCGAGATGACATACACAAAGATAAACAGTCCTTACCTGTATGATAGAAGCCATCTCCGGAATTTATTCTACTCTTAATTTATTCTCATGCAATTTTTTTGTTGTATTTCAACCCTGCATTCTGGCGACGAGGCATAGCATATACTCAATTTTTTTCCAGTCACTTTCAGAGCCAGCCTTCTGAAAGCGTTTCCTTAAGGTTCTGGTTTTTTAAACATTTTCTTAGACACCGAGGAAGGAAATAATAAGAATCCACTATAATCTGTGCATTTTGCCAGAAGGGATTTTTAAGGAAAGACAGAAACGTTTACATGAATTTCACACTGAAGCTCTTGGTGTGCAATTTACCTTCATGCCTTGTCTCTTTCGCTTGCAGATACTTCAAACCACTGCTACTGATATTCAGTTTCCTGATTCCTGTTTCCGTGCCATGTCTCCTGTGGGGCGAAACGTGGTGGAATGCGACTCTAGCCAACATTCTTCGTTGGGTGGTTTTACTTAATTGTATCTGGGCTGTAAACAGCTTTGCTCACATATATGGTTTACATCCATACAACAGGTAAATTCACTGAACATTTTCAGAACATACCGCTGGTCAACTGCATTAGACTGTAGGTTAAATTATGTTTATTTATGGCTTATCTGACGTCTCTGTCAGATGTGATTATACCGTGGAATGACAGGATTATCAATAAAGGATTAAACGGAAAGAATGGGAAAGGAATAGGTCGTAGCTCAATTTAAGGTATTTACCCGGCATTTACCTGGAGGAACTGACGATAAACATTAAAACTTCGTTAGTTTAGCTCTTCGCCACACGTTGATTTGGACAGACGATTCGGAATACGACACCGGAGTGCTGACCAAATGACCAATACTAAGGCGGTTTTATATAATAATGTTTATGATAAATTTATGATGTCATATAATAATATTATAATATGATTATTATAATATTGTTTAATAATTGAATCGTCGAGATTCCAATAAAGAAGACTGTGTCTGCCTGATATCGGAAATTTTTGGTCCAGGGCTAGCATATAATTCATTATCTGAGATGTCGCTATCCTCCTGATACGCACTCTTTGTTTTCCTAAATATAAATACACTCGCCATGTACATTTTTAATTTTATATACACAATTTTTCTGGCGCATTCACATCCAGGTTCGTACAAAATTATTAGCAAATATTTTAATTCTCCAGAATTAGTACAAATTGTACTAAAGACTTTCGAACGTACAGCTCCGAACTTGAATTCAAAACTCGTATCGCTCGAGGAACATCGTTCGAGAGGAGTCGTAGAAGCCAATTGTAAGAGAAAAGTTCAGATTTCAGGTTGTGTGACTATGTTCCAAACTCACATCGCTCCAGAGAAGTTTCAAAACTATCTCGTTCGCAAGCTGTCGTTAAATTAAATTTGTGCGGGAAATGTGCTGCATTCAGGAAAGTTAAGAATTCCAAATTATTACCAAGTATCTGTAACTTAACTTAAGTTAAATTTTCTCTTGTTGAAACTGTACCAGAGATCTCGGTGACAAAACAGTCCACTATCACTTGTTACGTTACGATATTCGTGAAGGGTCGTCGCCTTATTTACTACAAACAATATTCGCAACACTTCTATTCTTTTAGATTATTTTCATTGTTAAATTTCATTTCCAGCCTGCGAGTTTTATGATGCCGTGTCGAGTTACAAATCATAGTAATGAATTTGGTAGCCTGGCCAACAGTTTTCTCCTTAGTGCCCGAATACACAAATACATTGTTGTTACCCCGCTCTTGATAACTCATTGGTCTCTTACAAGTACGCAGCAATCGAACTTCTGTTCATTTCACAGTAGAGCACACCGCTTAACGCTTTGACAGCAATTCTCCAATTCCATGCTCAAAGTTGAAAATTTCCGAGATCGGTCTCCAGATAACGCGGCCACGAGATCCGTGTTGTCAGCATTCGCCAGTAGCTCAACGTAGTGGATAATACAGGAATGTCGTTTACATACAGACAGAACAGCACAGTGGAGGTTTTAGCCACATTCAAGCAAACCACTCCGGTTTGCCTCTTTCAACAAGGTTTCTGTTGACGTTTTCAAAAAGGCACGCCAGCTGCAGCGTCGTGCTAAGTCTGGGTCGGAACACGAATTCCTCTTCACGCAGCATAGAGCACTGGTTTATTTTTCCAGGTTCCAATTGAACACGAGGTTGACAACAGCGTCAATTTAAATAGTGATTCTAAAGAAAGGAATAAACATGTGGTCCATTTTCGGCTTAAATATGAATATAAATAGAGCGTATTTTCATGCGGGATGAAAATACTGTCTGGAGAGGATTACGTTACAAACTTACGTAAGAAAGGTTAACGCGGAGTTTGGTGGATTTCTCAGAACACTGTTCGGAATACCATTTTGACCCGGAATCCTTTAGTCTCCTGATGGCCTGTAGGACCTCCGAGGGACTGGTAAATTTCTGTTCACTTGAACGGCATCCTCGCTTATAAGCATCGCCTCATTGACCATCTCAAAAACTGTCGATTCCGACAAGTCGTTCACCGACGGAAACTGGAAATTAAAGACGTCAAACAACACTTTTGTTTTCTCGAAATCTGGGATAGGTGGTTACCCCGAAATTTTCAAACCAGAGGGGTTTGGTCAGACACTCCATTCCCCCTTGAATTCGCTTGTATACTGTTAAAAAAAGTCCTTATGACTCCAGAAAGCGCGCCATTGTTCCACTTCTGCCATATTTCTCGTATTTATGACAGAGTACTGGAGCCTGATGCTGGCAAGGCAGAATTTCTCGCCCCATTAATGCACATATAATTCAGCACGTGGCTGCAGAGAGGTGGGGACAGCTAACTAACGTAACGTTATATTCATTGTTTGTGACAATATGCATTCATTACACACACTCAAATAAATGCATGCAGTGATAAAATAATCCAGAAATTCATGCACAAATGTCTCATCCTAAACACACCGTACACAGGTAGCATAAAAGCATGCACTGAGGTGCATGCATGTTCATCAAGGATAAAAAAGTAGTTTGAATTATTAGAGATATGCTGTAGTGGTTTCATTTATTTCCTAAAGACTTTGCAAACGGATTTGAAGGCTATTGTTGCAATAACGCAAAGTGACATGTTTCAGGAAAATACAGCCGGCGGATAATCGTGTCGTATCTGCAATAGCACTAGGTGAAGGCTGGCACAATTACCACCACACGTTTCCCTGGGACTACAAGACTTCTGAGCTGGGTGACTATGGCCTGAACGTAACTACAGGTTTTATCGACTTCTTCGCTTACATTGGATGGGCTTATGACCGAAAACAGCCTTCTGAAAATTTGATACAGAAAGTTGTGCAGCAGGCAGGAGACGGCACCCATCCAAAATGGGGTCATGTGGAAGAAGTGTCCGAGGAAGCAGAACAACTGCTGAACGCTAGCAATGAAGTCGAAGATTTCAAACTCAATTCTGAAGACAGATTTAAATGAATGTATGCCTCTACTCTTCCGCATATTTTAGTCGCCTCTAATGGATTAATATATTACCATATTATTCTGCAAAATATGCGGTAAACAAAATTGTTAGTTTAGATTCACTGATCAGTCCACCTTTCTTTGGACGCCTTCTCAGTCTATAATTCAAAATCTTTAGTTACTTACATATTTTGAGTTTTATTATATGATATGGATGTCCTTGTTTGTTTAGTGTTTGCGTCTGTATACAAGGTTGAATACCTTAAGAATTTTTTTTTGTAAAATGGGATTATTGTTGTTTAATTCGTTCAATGATGAGTGTTATTTCATAGAGCAATTTCTTTAAAAAACACTTGATACTCTTAAACATTCTGAAACACCCTTTTCACATCTTTAAAATAATGTATAAACGAGATTATTCAGCAGCAGTTGACAAATAAACTTCCTAAAAGTATGTCTGTTCTGTGTGCTCCAACTATGATCATTGCCACAATAAAAGCCCATAACCAGTTATATTGAAACCCACCTCACTACGGTTCACATACCACAACCTGTTTGTACCTTATACATTTAAATTATCCTTCCAGCTATGTCTAACGTAAAATCATTTTAACAATTCAGACGCAAGTAAAAAATTCGACAGGCTCCATACAAGATGGTAAAAATACTTGATTACTATGGCATCACAAGGCAAACTTAACAGGAGACTTGCCGGTTCAGCTAATGTTCGACATGACAAGTTAGGGTGAAATTAATTAGGTTTGGAACCTTGACGTTCCAAATTACAGGGAGAAGAAATAATGATTGGCGATGGACTTCGGCTATGTCTTTCTGCTAATGTCAACATCAACAGATCAAACAACAAAGAATTCCTATCTTCTTCTTCTTCTATGGCTCCCCGGTCCGTATTATTTATAAACATAACCCAGAGAGACGGGCACCTGTTGACATATAAACTAAGTAGAATTTGAATATATTAGTGTATATGAAATATAACAACGGAATACACATTTTATTAATGGCTATGTGTTACCTGCCCAATTAAAATGTGTCCTGGCATCCTCAGATTGCCTTTTTATCTTTTGTTTAAACGCATTTTAATTGTACAGGTATGACCGTGCATGCTTCTTACTGACTCAAATCATTTTGAATGTATATTTGTTTAAGAGCTTTCATTACCTGAAAACTTTTGTTTCCTTTCAGACGTTTATGGGATATTTATGTAAGAGATTTTACATGTATATAACAGTGTATAAGATTAATTTACTTCAATTAGATTTACAGTCTTAATGAGTTTGAATCCCATATAAAATACACGTTGCATATTCCTATCATGCAATCAGTAATCCGTGGCGTAACAGCTCCAGAGAGCCAAAGCCGACTAGCTTGACTGCTGGCCTCACGTTCACATGCTTAAGCAGAGGTGAACGATCATCCAACCAGACATAGGGTGACGTGTGGTCAGCACGACGAACCCCCAGCCATTGCTAGTTTTCCTGACCGGATTACGCTACTCATTGTAGCTCCCAAATTTCCTCACGATGCTGGGTTAGCACCGGTCCCATACACCGGTTGAGAATTTCATGAGAACTTTCTTTCCCTGAGACTCGAACAAGCGCGCATTCCGCATCGCCGGTCTGAAGCATGATGCCTCAGACCACGCGGTTACGGCGCGGGACTTATCATGCAATATTTGCCTAAAATATCTATTTCGAGAAGAGCAACCTTATATCCAGTGTATGTCGACAAAATCACTGCTTATCTCCCCTCCCCGTTAATACATTGTCATCTACCCGGTGTCTGTTCGATTTAACTACAGCACATTCCAAGTAGGTCTACAGCAGACTGACGTTACATTAAAAAACGAATGACCTTGGTGAACCCCTTGTACTGACGTCTTCAGACATAACAAGATTTGTTCTTAGAGTATGTCTGTGTCCTACTTTCACACACTGAAAATTGATCTACTCTCGGAGGCCTAAGGAGACAATAAGCCTATATACTTTCGTCAATTTAACTGGCTGTCCATGATTTGAAATCGAGTTTAAACAATTATTTGCTAGCGTGACAATATTATTTAGCCACAGATATATTTTATTTCGATGTAAACAAAGTTCGTGTAGGCACGCTAGACGGATATGCATGGAAGTGCCCAATCTAAACGTAGTTACGAACTTGCATTACGAAATTGTCAGCCGAATGAGGAATTGTAGTTTCGCCATCAATGACATGAAACGTAAAACGTCAAACTTATCACGCATGTAATAAATTCTTCTGTAGAATTACAGTATGCTGAGAACGAGGACGAAGACGGTTCTCGAAACGTTGGTGTTTTCTTCATTAAGCCACGTTACACGGCTGGTAGCACGAGAAGACTTTATTATACTCATTCGCCGTGAAAACTTCAGATCATGTATCACGCATATTCACACAAGTTCCACGCATTATTCAGTCCTATAAGTTACGAGATGAAGACTGGGATTTCAGATTATTATCGTTGGGAATATGAAAATGGCTGTCTGCCAGATTGTTGCTCCGTGTGGTCTGGAGACGTTTATCTGCGTTTCAGAGGTGCTTGTTACCACATTACTGTCTAATCTCCCTGATGATTAAATTGGCATGCACCTATGAAACTTCCGTAAACTCCTACCAGTATACACGGAGAAACAAAGGCGAGAACCTGAAATATTGTTATTGATTGTCTTAATTACAGAAATAACCAAACGTCTTACGAGTAGTGCAGATTGGTGATCAAATTAAGATATTTGAAAAGAGATTGACAAGAAAATTAACGTAATTTAAAGGGCATAAAAATTAATTTATAAATAAATGTGTAACAGTATTATAGCTATACAAAAACACCTGAAGGATAATATAATAGTATTTCCTACGATATCGGGAAATATAAAAGAACCAAAAACAGACAGTTTGAATTTCGACATGTGTAGAGAAACAGGCCAGTAACTGAATACGACAGACTCGTAGCCTTGTAATAACAATGCGTTATTACATGGATATAAAAATATGATAAAACTGCAACAATTACCTACAAATGTCACAAAATAGAAGTCTTTTCATAAATGACTCATTGGGCGGCAAATAATTTGCATATAAACGGATACGATGCTATAGGTTCACACTTAAACGTCTCTGATCCAGAGTTCATATGTAAATTCGTGGAAAGGACTATGCAAAAAAGAAAATTCTTTTATGTAACATATGAGCTTGCAATCAGTAGTGTAATTCGAGTAGTGTTATTATTGTTATTTTTTGGTAAAATTCAACAAATGCAACCGGCTGTTTTCTATGCCCAGAGTTTTCCAATCGTGGGCTACGACTGCGGTGGGGGAGGTGTTAAATTTATAAATATTTACAGAAATATTTTGGAAAGAAATAGAAAAAGTTAACTTATTAACGCTGTAAAACATCTTTTCTGATGGAATATTTGATGGCAATCTTGCATTGCGGGACCGCTTGTCACCACGGCATGGCGCGTTCTCAGGTTGTGGATGGAGGAGACGGCTTCCAGATATAGAGCGTAGCTGCGAATATATTAAACAAGCAGTCACGGATAGCCGATAAGGGGTGGTCCTCCAGTAGGGGGTTTGCGCGTGGGGCTACCAATTCCTCACTGTAAAAATAATAACTTGTTATGAAATGTAACACATGGTCTCGGACTGGGACAAGATTATTTGGAACGACCAAAGACAAGGAAATTTAGAGAAATAGGATGGAGTGATATGGACGGAATTTATCTGGCTCAAGATACAGACCAATGGCGGGCTTTTTTGAACACAGTAATAAACCTTCCAGTTTCTCAAAATGTTCGGAATTGTTTTGGTGGCTCAGCGATTGTTGGCTTTATAGAAAGTGATCAGATCCATGGAGTATGTTCATAAGAAAAACTTTGTTTAAAAACCCATTTTTGTACTTGGCCATTTACTTTTTTCTGTATGTTCCCTTTGAACGTAAATTTCACAAAATAAAAAAAGCAACCCTACTTAACTTCAATAAAGAAACTGAAACAATTATCTGTTTAGCATCGAAGATGCAACATTTCGAAAATTACTACTACAAAGTAGAATCTTAAGATTTAGCATCTTTAATAATCCGCCATTGGATGCAATCCTTTGGGTTTTTTATTTATGTTACATTATCATAGAATGTTTCTGTAATGTTATCCTCCAATTATTTTAGAGTTTTTCAAAAGTTCGTTTTTCGACAGTATTCCCCACCAAAATTTTGTATGGATTTCTTGCCTCGCCCACACTATACACATGCCCAACCGATCCCAATCTCTTATATTTAACTTTCCTAACAATAATACTTGCCCTGTTAAAATCACGAATATCAGAGTTAAGAGACATCGTTAAATTGTTACTTCATCCTTCCTGGGTCCAATATATATGTAATTATCTGAGATCGTGGTTTCAATAAACATATAGTAGCAGATCACTTGAAACATCACATACAGTGTTTAATAGGCAAATTTAATGCTTCATAATATGATCATAATCTTCAGGATTCTGGAAAGAAGGCTTCATGCTAAATTTTTCTCTTTTTCAAGTTCTTAGCAAGAATTTGCATAATGTGTTCCTCTCCTAATATAATCACGTCTTTGATTCATCCTACATATTGCCATTATTTCTGGACGTAGTCATATGTGATTAATTTGCTACAAAGAAGATAGAAGACTGTACAGTCAGATATTACAATATGTGAGCATTCATGAAAAGACCTTACGGAGGATGCAATATTTAACAGATAATTGGATCACTTCTGTATGACAATGTATTGTAATGAACACTTATTTATTATGAACAATCCTATAGCAGCTACATGTGGCCAAATTTAACATAAGCTAATAGAGGTCTCAATCATTCCATCCCAAAGAAATTTCTTTCTCAGACAGTTTAAATATATAAAAGTAGACAAGAATATTCTGAATGAATGTAAGCAAAGAATAAATTATCCCTGTGGATGTTTCGTAATTTTGCTTAGTATCTTCACCTAAATTCTGTGTAGTGGCATAAAAGAATCCCCCCTTCCTACAAAATTTTAATGTCCAATCAATTTTCTCTGTCGTCACACTTTAGTCTGCCTCATAACAGCTTTACAACTGAAAAACGGTGTTAAATGAACACACTACTCCCTAAACTAAATATTAAAATAGTTGTATGGAATATAGTGTTATAAAAATCAAACAAGTAGTGTAGATTTACTAAAGAAATGGTTCTAATACAATAATAACTAAATTAAAAAATACTTTTACTATAGTGTGTCCGTCACGAATATTGACAGAATTATAAAGTTCATATAATAATAATAATAATAATAATATATTTGGTTTAGAACTATATACAGAGATCTGTGGCCGCCTAACACCAGGTTTTCACGGCCACAGTCCTTACATATGTAGCAATATTAGCACTACTTCTTACTACAACTATTCCT